CAGTAAACAATTGTCTCCAAACGTCTACCCTACTTCTACAAGTGGGGAATACGCTGTTCGACAATCGAACATGCATGGAACTTTGGTTCATGACAGAAAAAAGTTTGTGAATTTTTAATTATACCTTTCTCTCATCCTGTAACGGGAAAAAACTGTTACGTTGAAAACTTAAAATTGGGTCATCTACAACATAAAAAAAATACAATTTTACTTAAAATAGTACCAGAGAAGAAATGTTCAAAAGCCACAACGGACCACTGCACGGAACAAACATAGTGAGATTCATGCTATAGAATTTGTGATTACATCATCAAATCCATAGTATATCCATACTTTTTCCATACTATATCCAGAGTATGGAAATTGCAATTAGTATGAACATTGGATTTCCGTGCTATTTTCAAGTAAGATCCATACTATTTCGGCATTCCTCGTGTTTGGATAATGTACGATGAAATTTGACAATTGTTAAGTGTGTTGACCCAGATTATTGAGTTCCTTCAGCAGTAAGATAAATATTACGAATACTTAATTCAACATTCTGGGCGTAATAGGGAATTAAATATGTAGTATATATTGGCTTGCTATAATGTATAATCCCAAATATCCAATCTTTCTTGGTCAATAATTTACACTGGAAAAAACTGATAGTGAAATTCATATTATGAAATTTGCGATTGCATCACAAGATTCATAGTATATCCATACTTTTTCCATACTATATCCACAGTATGGAAATTGCAATAAGTATGAAAATTTGATTTCCCTACTATTTTCAACTGAGTTCCATACTATTTCCATAGTAAGGATTTTGAAAACAATTCCAGTGAAAACATGCACGTGATATGCCTCACCTTTTTCTATCATTTCTGTCGAAGCAGCCGTGAACCTCCTTAAAAGATCTGGCCATTTCATGCGCATTCGTAGTGGTTGGTGATGATCCTTTAATTGCAATTCTAAAAGATGTGCATGGTTGTTGTGTTTACAAGTTATTTGGAATAAAATGCAACACTAGGAATATGGATATTACTCATATAGACTGATTTTCTGTGGTGTGCGTGTGTGCAGTGTGATGCACCCCCTCAGAATGTTTTCCAACCCCATTACAAAAATTTTCATCGCCCCCCCCAGATTTTTGAATGCTCAATGGCTTAAACTGACAGTAGTATAATTGGAATAAGGATTTTAAACTAAACAAGACCAAAAATCTGAAAATGTTTCCTGGCCTTACCCTAATCCTATCCCCACTGGGAATGTGCCCCCAGACTCCTACTGCAGCCTGTTTGGCGGCGCGCTCACCCCCTCCCCCGAATTCTTAGCACCCCAAGAGCAAATCTGAAAATCTGTCTATGTTTTTACTCAGTTTATCAAACTATTCGAAACATCGAGTTGGGTTTACCATATTTAACAATATTGTAAAGCCTGACTTACGTAATAAAGGCGAGACCAGCCAAATACAAAACACGTCTTTGGCCTGTGAGGACATGGCGAGATTTTCGACCATCATTTTACAGATCAAACCAGCAGTTGTGTCTTTGCCATACTCCAGGTTCAACAAACGACCAACTTTTTCCACCAAAAATACAGCAACACTGATGGCTGTGATTAGAGGAAACACATTTGAATGAGCTGTTAAGGAGCATAACTTGACCCATTAAGTGGCTCTTAAAAATAATTACTGAAAATCCCTTTTTAGCCTCCCACTCTCAATAAGTCTCTTTCTTTCTGTAACAAAAGGCCCGATAAAAGAAGCCATAAGACCTCATACCCCTCCCTAATAAACGTCCTACGCTGCATAATGAAGAAATCTAAAGCCAAATATACTGTTGGGTTTGTTTGAACATTGTGCCTGATGTTGGGTTACGTTTGACTTTGTTCAAAATTTTCATTTAAAATTTTTGGATCAATAATTAATGCCTATGAGCAGAGGCCGCGGAAGCATTTCGAAAGTGGAGGGGCATTGACCGAAAGGGGCACTTTTGTATATGACCAGAATCAAACGATTTTATGACGTTCACGAGCCGAACGAAAATTTTTGAAAATATGGAGTCTCTCTAACGTCGGAAATGGCCTTTACAGAGTCTTTACTACTGCGAAAAGGGCATTTTCTTTCCAGAAAAAGAGGGCGTTTATTCAAGAAATACTTTTTTCGTTTTTTAAATGGGGTATTTTAGCCCAGAAAAAAGGGCACTTTTTTCACTTTTAAGAAAAGTGGGGGGTACATGCCCCCATTGCCCCCCCCCCCCGGTTCCGCGGCCCCTGCCTATGAGCATTTAAAAATTCCTTGCCTTGTCAGTTGTCACAATTGTTGTTGCTGACCACTACAGAAGATGATCATGAATGCGAAAGTCGCACGCATGCACATACAGTAAAAACTAGCTTATTGGTCAAATGTCTATGCATAGACAATCCAGAAAACATATGATGCCTTCTGGATTGTCTATGGTCTATGTGTAGCCGTACAAAAGTCATCGTCGTGGTCATTATATAAATTATTTAGGATTTAGTGTAATAATGATATTGTAAATTTGTGTACCCATTCATTGTTTATTAAAAATTATATTACAAAAGTCACAAGTCAAAAGTCGTGGTCATTATATAGACTATTTAGGATTTAGTGTAATAATATTGTAAATTTAACTGAAAAGCCAAGTCAAATATCAGATATCAAATTACACAGTAGGCTTTCACCGCCCACTAACAAGCACTATGCGGTTTCACCGCCCAATAAAGACATCACGTTTTTTCAAGTGGCTGATATTGGATTAAGTTTGCATGACTTAAATAAAAATTTTCACTCAACATTTTTGGACACGATTTTTCTCGTCAGGGGAAAAGTCATGGTGGTGTGTCTAGTTAACTCTTTAAGTGGCATTGCTCCCTAATGCGCCTTATACATTGTTATTTTACTCTGTCTTACACCAGCAATTTTACTCGTCAAGGGGAAAAAGCTACCACTCAATTGGTTAATGTGAAATTGAAACAGCTTTTAAATACCTTTTGCCTGCTGATTTCCATTAGACTGAGCAGAAAACGACCTTTGCAGCGCCTTGGGTATTTTTAAATGATGAGGTCTGTGTGCCTTTGATTTCATGGAAGATTTTTCCTTCTTGTTTTTCTCTTTTTGACCGTCTGAAGGACCTTGTTCGCTTGTCGAAGCATCGTCGTCTTCTTGCTGTGGATCATGTGCTGTTTCTTCACAACATCCCGGGGTATCAGGCGTGTCCAACGCACTATCTTCTAGAATTGTTGTTTCTGAAACATAATACAGATTATGGATTAGAGATTAAGAGTGAAAGGCTCCTGCATGAAGGGGTAAAATGGGAACCAACTAGGATTTGTCTATGTTAGGAATGGGAAAATGGGATTTGCGTTACTGGGACTGACAGCCACAAAAATGGGAAAACCCGCGTATATATAAATATTTTAGCTGAATTTCTGTCCGCGCATTTTCAAGAAAATTCAACAAAATCTGCATCTTTTTTATGAACTAATGATTTATTTTGTCTCTTACGTGTTGGGCCTTGCGAAAAGAGGTAGACAAAACTCTGAAAATGCCATTTCAGACAATCTAGAGACTCCAAATTTTCGAAATTTTCTCAAATGTTCTGCCTTCATTTCCGCTCAACTGCCATTTTACAACGGGAAAGTTCCCCGCGCAAAAGTAAGTTGCGTGGGACATCCTATATTGTCTGTCGTGTGACAACACGTCCCATGTATGAATTGCAATTATACAGCCATGCATATATAACAGTCACAGAATAGAGCAAAAATGCAGTCTTGTACAGACTAGACAACGGCACAAAGCGGGAAGATTAAAGCGATATAACATGTTACGCGAACTGTATAATTATATAAAGTTCTTTATTGACAGAGATTATACGCTACAATCGATCTGGTAAGTATGCGCCTATATTATATTAAATATTAATCCAATAAGCAATAATTATATTAACTATAAAAAATAAAGCGCGTGCAGGGTCTTTGTTCTCGCCAGCCTAAAAAAACGAAAAGAGAGGTTTCAAGGAAAGCGACTCTTTGTCAAGAGATGAAATCTATTGATAGAATGAAATCTTACTAGAATAACTCGTTTAACCAAAGATTGTGCTAATATTTTACTTTTAGAGTCTGCTGCCTTTGTAAAGCAAGCCCATTGAGAGTATTCGTCAACATTATTTGTTAACAAACTTGTACAAAACAATGCCAGTGAGGAACACTGCTTTCCCCCATCTTAGCCAGAAAGCGAATAACTGACCTTCTCTGCCTTATATAGCAAATAAGCCGGGAGAGTATGAAAGGTGTCGAAAAATGCTTTAAAAAATATATTCTTTTTTGTTTATGTTACTTAGCAACAGCAGTCAGATATTTATACTTCCCAAGGGCGGGCAAGGCTGATGCGGAATTGAAAACACTCCGTTACCACCCTCAAAAACAGAAACGGAAACACGAGTACTCTGGCTTATATCTTGTTTCCATGCAACTAATCAGAGTGCATATTATAAAATAGATAATTAACGAAGCCCAATCGCATAGCGAAGCAAATCACTCAACTTTCTTCGGGAGAACTTATAAAAAGATAAATCTGTTGACTGTACATGCGTGGGATTTATCCTTTGAGAAACTGATGCAACGATTAATACCAAATTGGCGAAATTCGTGAATTTCATATGAGTTTATAAGAACGGCATAGCTGCAATAGTTGGCAATACTCCAATACTCAATGTGACCTGCATGAATGTCAGGCCTATATCCTATCATCAGGCTATAGTATAGCTATGATATGTTATATTATTCTGTGCATGGCTATGGCTATGGCTATATGCTATATATAATATTAAATACTTATCACATAGCAATAGCCAATATATACTTTCCAACAACCCCTTTTCCGAATAATCTGGAAAAATGAGTACGCGTATTGCAAGCATGTTGCAAGCCATCTTTCTGAAAACTGAGCATATATTCGAATTCATAAATTGCAGTTACCAGCTTCTAACCTAAAAATACCATCAGACAAAATATTTTCCCAGCCCGGCAGAAAAAAAGTCTGATTATTTTCGTCCCCCTATTGTCGAATAGGAACTGGACAACAAAGAATATTGCAAATTTGAATATACGTTATATATAGTTACAAGCCATAACGAATAATCTGGAAAAATGTGTTTACGCGAAAATTAAACAAAGACTTCCGTTCGAGAATGATCTGAAAATTAAATATCCACTTGTGTATCATGTGACAACCACTTGTATATTGTTGTGGCCTTTGGCTATGACTATGTGTTTCTTGACTGTGATGACTATATCATATTTTATTATATAGCAGAGAGTGAGATACTGAAAAATACACAGCGAGATATTTTCCATACTTCACTGGTGAAGATATCGATCACGTGACTTTTTCCAATTTGCTTTTGAGCGTGAAATTTCACAATTTTTTGCTTATAGCCTATAATAACATTTTTGACTATATAATAAACAGAACATTACAAGTACGGTGGCTTGAAGATATGACTCTTATCTTCTCGTGTTAAAAACAATATTTTACTCACTCCCTGTGCTCATTCGTAAAATAATGTTTCACCACTCGAAGATAAAAGTAATATCTTCGCGCAGCCGTGTAATATCCTCTATATATGAACTGTAGATCGAAGAAGTATCGATTGGTATAACTGCTATTTGTCTTATAACGACAATGTTTATTTTATCTTTTGTTCGACACGGTCGAACCTTGACTGACCTCTGTGCTGCAGTATGCGGATTTCTGGTGGCATGTATGGTATGTATACATGCCTTGTCAAAACAAAACAAAAAAAGATTCTAACAGTCACGTCAGAGTATCACGTGATATACAATAATATTGTGTCATAAGCTTTTGTTCACAAAATATGAAATATAGTGCATGAAATTTGAGTTGCGGATTCATCCTACGCGACAACAGATTGGCATTGCAAATATAGGTCGTCAGCAAAGAATTGGAAAAAATACTCTATATTACCATAATAAGGGTAAGTCTATTTATATATACCTGCATGTGCGGCCTGTGCCAGGCGAAGAACGTATGTTGTCTATCGAAAACTTGAAATATATGTACAAAACGGGTTACTGAATCGGCTGCGAAATTATGTTCACTTCCTGGGGGGGGGGGTAATGGTAAGAGAAAAACAGATTGCACTGCAATCTGTTTTTCTCTTTCTTACCATTACCCCCAGGAAGTGAACATAATTTCGCAGCCGATTTAGTAACCCGTTTTATTCATATATTTCAAGTTTTCGATAGACAACACACGTTCTTCATTGCAGTGACACTGACTACGGACATGCCACTTAAACTCTTATTTTATCTTAGAAAAAAACAACACAACACACACATATAACGATCAACGTCGTACCCAGAGTATCGAAGGTAATACCCTGGGTACGAGGTTGTATAAGGATTTGATTCAACAAAGGTTTCGTTGCTTTTCCCAATCCAGCAAATACTATAGCTACGTCCTCTAGCTTATTTCTCAGCTTCATTTCCGCACGTTCAATTTTTACGGTCATGTTAAACGTACACTTTTGCTGAGGCAACTTTTGCTGCAACTTGCAACGCAATGGTGACACAGAGCGAAGTTATGTAGAGAAGGGAATGAAATGCGTTCGATATTCATCGATTCCATGTCGAAAACGTCGCCAGAGTAAAACAAGGGCCAATATAGATGTCGCCCGCTACATCCTAATTTCCTAAAGTGCTTACGGCACAAAAAATGTATTGCAGTTTTGAATGGAGGATGGAGAAAACATAACTTGCGAATGTTTCTAGTACGCAAGCGAATAATGAACCTTTGATTTTTGAGTTTAAGACTAAATCCCTTATTTCAGCGCTCCATTTATGGCATTACCTAATTATCTATATGAATTCACCACGAATCACTATAAAGACAATATAACTCTATATATACTGAATATGATATCCTGATGTATAGCCCATCTTTAATTTGCACACTTTCCTCGGTAGTACACAAACTGAACAAGTAAAAAAAGGGCCATGTCAAGCGTAGCTGAAAATCAAAATTATTAACTAGGTCAGTTTATAGTCAAGAAGACTTTTATGAATTTGTGATCTTCGTTCGCTCCGTACTTCAAAACTAGTGAACATATACCAAACTGTTCATGGAGTTATTTTTAATTATCACGATTTTCACAATTTCCAAAAATCGTTGCGTGGTGCGATCGATCAGGTCCAAAATTCCCCACAAAGGGGATTATATGGCAACAGCAATAATTTTTGGCATTTTATCAAGATGTAATCTGAAGGGCTACTAAAGGATGAATAAACGATCACATCAATAATTATAATTGAATCGACGTAATAAACGAATATAATGAACGAATTATAAAGAAATACATTATTGAAAGTATACATAATGCATAAACAAACATGGGATCCCCCTCTCCGTTTACGAATCTTCTGGAATAACTTGTCGAAGCGAAAGTGAAAGAAAGACTTTTGGCGGAATCGATGGCGATGCCCTTTGAACCCCATTTCATTGTCTGTGTTAATTTGCTTGTTGTCTGAAAGTGAGCATGCATGCAGAAAACTCCAAAAGTATATACGAACAAGTCGTTTAAATTTTGGTTGAATCTGGATGAAAGTGGATGAGTTTACAAAAGTTTAATTGCTATATAGGTAAAATATGTTGTGTAACAATGTATAAGACACTTTACGCCATATACGTGTCTTTGAAGGATGAACTTTTAATTCATGCAAACACGTGTTATAAAATATTCATATATGGGCATGTGCAAACATGCCCTGCACACGATCTTATTGGTTGATTTTGAATACAAATTCAATGCAAATAGCATGATGTAAATTAAATCGCTGCAAAAGTACAAAAACATTCACTCGACAGACCACAGACAGAGTTGGACACTAAGGACTTGAAATTTATTCGGGAGAAAACGTAAGTCTGACATTAGTTGGGGAAGTAGAGCGAAATATATTGGGGTTATCCTCTGGGGGTTATCTACTATCTAGTAATAGTTTTTATAAGCCGTCACATGATGTTAAAACAAGATACAAAATTCGTTCTGTTAAATCGTTCTGTTAAAAAGGTTTAGTCCAAAAATTTCGTACAACAGTAGAGTAGAATAGTAAACAGTGCCTGTTTAAAAATTCTATCCTTTATTGTGTGCCCATGGGCCATGTATTTGAAAATTCTATCGCTTATTGCCGTATTAGTACTAAGGAATTTGGATTCCTTATGGCTTATACCGTCCACATTGGTATATTTATATACGTAGGGAAGGCAACTCTCTATAGTCTACGACAGATTACTTTCCATACGGGTTTTTAGAGCCAAATTTTCAAGGAAACATTACAAGGTTCAGTATTCAAGCGGTTCAGCGTCCACGAGGTTGTGCTTCGTCGCCATCTGAAGTGTAATATTACCGTTGCGTGGGAGTATATTTCGCGCCAAAACATAGAAAGCTGCCCTTTTTGCACCTGCCGAGTGTAACTACGTTTACAATGTTTAGTTAGACCACTAACCATTCCTTCCTCCCGCTCTGATCCAAAATTAACTGCTGAAACGAAAACCTTGCAGCAACTATAGGATTTTTAGCAAGAAAATAGATCGCTGGTTTAGTGTTTAATTTCGTTATTATTCATCTTTTTGGCGGGAAAAAGGATACTTATGATAATCACTTGCGACATCGCTTAGGGTGGCCGCTCGACGACTAAACAACACAACAGGGATTCGGTACAAAGCAGGTTTTGGCCTTTGGGTCTGTAGACTGTAGAAATGTTGAATAGCGAAGTTTGTTTCAAGTTTTCTTGCCCTTCCAGTTTAGTCAGTTCTGTGTATCCGGCCAGGGCCTATGAAGATCACGTGCGGCCGAGAGGCCCTGGGAACTCGTACCCAGAGCCCTTCTTACGCGCGGCGCGACGAGGGGCTCTGGCCAAATCCATAACCGGATACCATAAAAACATGGTGGGAAAACAATATCCGTTGTTAGAACTAGCCAATCAGATGCCAGTTGGGAATATGGATTTGGCCAGAGCCCTTTGTCGCACCGCGCAGAAGGGCTGTGGGTACGAGAATGTGAAGAGCTATCAAAGGGGAAGGACGTGTGAACTTTGTCCTACCTTGTAGGTGAGAAAACAGAGAAAGGTATTTGATGAAAGCTGCATGGCTCTTTCATGAACAAATGTATTTTTATTCTAGATTTGCCAAGCCTTGGTAAAAGCACTTGTATATCAGTTGCCATTGCCAGAAGCTATTATTAATCGGGTAAGTCTGACATGACGTACTTATGTTTCATACTAAAAGCTAATAAAAGCAGTTAAAGTAATATTAGTTATGTCTATCTTGAAATTTGCAGCAGGCACATAATATGCGATTCTTACCTAGCCCATACGCTAAATCTTATATAGAGTAAAGGCAAAGCATACTAAGCGGGGAATACGCTGTGACCCGCACTGATGACTTGAGTCACATGGCTTGAGAACGATGGTAGTGTACGTAGCCCCTCAAACCTGCATATTGTAGCCTATATAGGTGTCTTGTTTAATAATTTCTGTATGCGTATGTGTACAATTATAAATAAGCCATTGGAACTTGGTATTTTTACGGAAATCGTCTTTTTCTAAAAATACACGTGGCAGCGCAACGGCATTATTGCATGCAAGCATTCCGCACATTCTGTACAGACTCGTACAAACTATTCTCATTCCATAATTAGTACGAAAGATAAGGCGCTGGTTTCACCATACAAATAGCTATATTCCTGTAACGAAGAGCTCTAACATGCATGTATAAATGTTGTAAACTATTCCTGCTCGATTATTTTGGGTCTTGAAAATGTTTGTTAAACGACGGAAATTACTCGTGCAAAAAGGGGAAAGTAATTTTCCCCTTTTTGCACGGTAGGGCTGGCTAAACTTTAAATCAGTAATAACATAATAAATACATTTCTGTATAAGTATTGCCATTGGCCAACTTCTATAAGTCAGGATCTGAATCTAGAATACTACACACCAAGGTCACGTACAAACGCAAGGAAAAATTCGCAAGGAAAAATTAACTAAGCTCGCTACTCAATAAAAACCTTTAGTTGTTAAACCTTTTTGTTGTTCGGTGTCCGCGGCAGCTGTAACAATTAGCACTTGAATTACCATCTTCAAATATTAAACTTCGATTGAATGATTAACCGCTAGACATGTGGAAATTTCTTGCAGTTTGCATCTCGAATGACTCAGAACACTCGAAACGCATGGCAGGTTAGGGCCCACAGTAATTGGTTTACACTGTTGTGGTGTCCCTGCCATTTTTGTCCATGTTTATTGTCTAGATATCTATTTGCTGTTCTGTTAAGTGTTTTTGGCAAAGTTTAATAAATAATAAATAAATAAATAAATAAATAAAGATTGCATGACTTTCTGCACGTAGTTTAACTAGCCAATCAAATCACTTGCATTTCCCGCTCAGACACAGCAGCAGGAAATACGATGCTGTGGCTGGCTGAACTTTAAGGCCACGATGCTGGGTACATCAAACCATATACGCCAGGCAAAAATAGTTTTACGCTATAAATGCCCGTGCGACAGGTGGTGCCGTGGTAAAGCACTTACATAATAATAAACATGCAATCACTTGCCATTGTCATGAGAATTGCGAGAAATCTCCGCCAATATTAATCGGAAGTCTAATAAGTCTAATAATACAAAAACAGTACTAAAATCTTTGGCACTTGAAGAGAAGTGTGCACTTGAAATTGATCAACTATAGGCTTACCCCCGCCATTCACGAAGGGAGGACATGCACCAACGACCATGAATGCAGACGTTAAATAGTCCAGTCGTTGGCGTTGGTGCATGTTCTTGAATTTCTTGCAGTTCATCTTTTGTTCAAACGTGGTGTAAGGGAATTTCATCTTTCATTAGATATGGCAGGAAAAATTAGCATGTGGGATGGAAATCTTGTCGAGTTTGTGAAACCGCTGGAAGATGGACATAAATGTACGACCTGTAACTTTGTTTTGAGATCGCCATGTCAAACCAATTGTGGACATCGATTCTGTAAAGAATGCGTTATAGCAGTCATAACATCGACATCGTAAGTTACTGAGTTAATAATAATAATAATAATAATAATCTGTTTAATTAATCACATTGCAGTCTCTACTGAATTACATGATTATAAGGAATACATTAAAAATTAAATTTACAAATAAAATTGAGTTCAAACCGTTCAATGTTCGTTCTGAATAGTCAGTTTAAATCTGTCCACAAATTATAATTGGGTCCCTGAATTAATATACACGA